CAGTGGTACAGTCTCAGTATTTTTCTTCTTTACACAGGTACATTTTCCCCAAGCCAGTGGTACAGTCTCAGTATTTTTCTTCTTTACACAGGTACATTTTCCCCAAGCCACTAATCCTTTCCCCTTCCGCCCCAAATCTCTAATGACTTTTTATATTATTATGAATGAGGTTTCAGAAAATACACAAATGATAACTTGATACCTTTTAAGACACTCATGCATTTTCAGTTACATTCAGTGGTTATGATATGTGCCCAGGAGTAAGTGTGGCGATGTTTATCAACTGACAGTCTGTCAGATCATGCAACTGCAAGCATGGCCAAGGTTGAATTACTCAGATCTATGGCTAGAAAGGCAGGTATCTGGGCTGAATGATAGATTTACTGCATTTCTTTAAAAATTTTAGAATATTGTAAGCCAATTCATTCATCAAATAATTCCCATTCATTATTCCCAATTGTCAAAACCTATATTTTTTAATAATCTATTGCTTTATTTTATAAATATGACTCCTTGACTCCTTGGGAAAATTCTTGTCTTCAAGTCTGAGTTACATCTCTGTACTAAATGACTAAAGGCCAATATGAAGACCAGCATTTAGGAGTCAAGGCAATAATAATTTCTGATGCTTAGCATGACTGAAACATGAGTATTTTTCTTGCAAGTACATGACTAAGCATCCAGTCTGGAAAATTTTGTAGAATGTGGCTCTTGGATCTTATCAGTTCTTGCTTCCTCATTAGGAGACATCATTCACCAATACAATTACCTTTTTCCAATAGTCTACCTTTTTGGTTTGACTGGAAGAGAAACCATTTTTGGTCAGTGTGGTGTCCCAAAGTAAACCTGTCAAGAGCTCATCAGTCACCTGAACTGTAGTCATGAACCATGAGTTATCTCCCTGTTAACACTGTTTCCCTGAAATTAGTTCGCCACATTTTACTGACTTTTCAATAACACCTTTAGGCTAAAATTTCTTTCACTTCAAAAATCCAATTCACATCTGCAACTACTTACACCCAGGCAATTTTAGGCAGAACTTCCCTGGTGAAGTGTTTGCTTAGGAACAAGAGCAAAATTTATTTGTGTAGCAAACATCCACTGTCTGAACATCTTGTATGCAGAGATTCAGAAAGCATGTCATTTAAATAAATTAAGGTTGTTTTAATACAATGATTCACTTACAGAACTAATAAAAAAGCTGTCAGATGAGGCATTTGAATATTGATATATGGAAACAGTCTGTTCTCATTGGATGTAGCCATGTAAATGTGTGCTCATTGCAATAGTTTCTCTGTTCCGTTCTGCATATATAGGGGTTTTTCATGTGTGTCCACAAAAGCATGGACAGTAAAATCATAAATCCTAAAAAGCTCTATGATTTTTTTGTCTTCAGTTAAAGAAAAAAAACAAAGCATGAAGGTGTAAGAACTCCCTTCCCATAGGAAAAAAAAAAAAAAATCATAGTTGCTTTTTCCTCATCTAAGCTTTTTAAATAGTTAAATATAAATATGCATGTATGTATACTTGTATACATACCTCCTACTGTATCTGTTCAGAAGAGAAAGCTTTTGATGTTTTTAAAATCTGCACGTATCGCATTTTAAAGTTTTTACATCATCAGATTATGGCCTGATTTGTACATGGAACCTTGGAAAGGTTCTGTTCTTTTCTTCCTAGTGAATTCTGCACAAGAATACAACTTTTTCACTCAGACTTGCAGTGCTTAGAAAGGTACTCATTGTAACTTGTGCATGTTCTGCTCACCTTCCTGAAAGCAGATAACCATATTTTTGTGTCCAAATCTGAGAAGCATCTGAAACTGGCCATGATACATAGGTATCTCAAGCTGGACTTATCGCTTTGTGTACTACTCCATGGTTTTTGTTCCACCAAATGTTTACTTTATTATGTATTCATGAGCCCTCCCTTTCCAATATTTTATTATATAATTAAAAATTTATGGGTGGCATAGGACTGTTGTGAGGGAGTTATAAAATTAACAACTGTGTAATAAATTGTAGGACCTAAAGTTTTATAGCTAACAGGAGTTTTATAGATATGTAGATTTATCTGTCTCTCCATATATGTGTAGACCATCTATGAAAAATTTCAGTCCATTACATTCTTCACTCCTTTGGTAGCCACTAGGTTTTGCTTATGACACCATGCTATTCTTAGAAAATATACAGAAATTGTATTATCTATAGAAGTCCTAACTACTTGCTATGGAAATAAAAACTTGACCACATATATATTTGTTCAATGACACTGAGAGTGCCGTCTCTAGGAAGTATACGTAGAGTCGATTAGATTGTACTGTATACTTTAAGTTGAATTATGTACTCTTGTAAAAAACTCTTCAAAATTATTTAACTTCCCATGGTATAGTTTCAGAAGGTGCAAAAAAAAAAAAATCTTTAGTGTTATCTTTTCCTGTCACATGGCTAGTGCAAACACACACAAAAAAAATCTTATCTTTTTGTTTCTCTTCTGGTACTTTATAAAACAGCATAACCGGTTTAGTTCCCAGACATTAAAGACTCCACTCAGAAAAGATTGGTGTTATGTATTCCGCTCTACTTTAAATGTTTCCATGATATAACAGGAAAGATTTAGCCATAAGGGTTTTTCAGTGTGTGATTGCTGAAGACTTTTTTTTTTTTTTTTTTTCAGAATAACCCCAACCCTTCCCTACTGGAGACAGTGATGTTATTTGAAGCGTAGACCCCACTACTGTTTGTAGGACTCAAGAGTACTGCTTGGACCCAGGAACGGTATCTGTATGGGAGCATCTTTAGGCTTAGAACCATGTACCTCCTCCATTTAACTGCACCATCCTGGTGCATGTCCTGCAACTTAACAGCTGTGATGAGCAGTTTGATCTTGACCTGCCAGTCATGTCAATAAAAATACTTGATGTTTGTTTCAAACGTTTTTGGTGTATTTGAGTAATCAGTGAACAGGCTATTTGAGAAATAGGTGCCATATAGATTATTCAACTTTGATCTATTTCTTTGATTTAGCACTACAATTAAGTAGATTTGCTTCAAAGAGAAAGCTCATTGGTTGATGTTTTACACTGATGTGATAATGTTTACACAGATGTGCTTTGAAATCTCAATTATGGTGGATTTTTGGGTCCTACCACATGACAGACTCCTGTTATCTGAAATGTAAAATAATATAACATCTATCTGTAACTGCCTTCAGAACAGGTCTGCCTGTGCTCTCCTCTGAGGTGATTTATCTGATCATTGTATTTAGCATTAATTTTTTCAGTTTTAAATCCCTCCACAGTAAATCACTTGCTTTAAAGCAGCCTTTTTATAATTCAGGTGCACACAGGGGCAGTACTTAGGACTGCAGTGATGAAAAGGTGTCACATTACCTGCTTTAAAGCACCTGCCAATTAATTAGCCCTATACTCTCCATAGCAAATAAAGGTAAGCAGTCAAATCCATTTGATCTCTCAGATTTAGACTGTGACTGAAAAGACCATGAAGCAAGACGGGAGAACTAATCTCTCATGATTCTCTGCAACTTTTTTGTTTAAATGAAACTTAAACCACCAAGTGATTCTCTTGAACTTTTGAAAGAATTAACTATGAAAGATCTTTACATTTTATACTCTAATACCATGTTTTAGCATTGGCAAAGAACTGCATATCTTAGATGCTGAGATAGGTCATGTCATTTAAGCCCTAAAATTCATTAGACTTTACAGAAAAGGCTGGAAAGATGGCAAAAGTCAAACTCTTAGATTTAATGTAGTGTTGTTTTACCATCGGTGAATATGTTTTCCACCAAAATATTTTTTCCTGTGTGAACCATTCTACTCCGGGGATGAAAAAAGTGTATATGCTCATCTGGAACAGGACAACGAAGTCCCAAACATTAAAAACATTGCAGAACTACAACAGGGATCTTTCAGTAGATAATAGTGCTAATTTATGATGCTCACAGACCTTGGCTACAGGCCCAATGAAAAACCCCAAAGAAGATGGATTAGATGAGCCACCTCTCAATCTTTCTTTCTTCTTCTCTGCAAGTTTTGAAAATATTTATCCCAAACGATGGAGCTGCCCATTTATGTTTTGAAGACCTCCTGTCAATACCCAAATACTAGACCAGTTTAGTGTCACATTAATGATAAATGCGAGGGAGAATTTGCAGAGGGGAAAGCACCTCCCTGACTATGCCAATTTCTTTAGAAATTCCCCTCCTTGTAGTTGAAGCGATAAAAGGGAAGCGTAATGCATGTACATTTTATTAGCGTTTTAGAAACAGGGAGTAAAACTGTCAGATCTCCGGGTTTTTTTCTTTCATGTGTGTCTGGGCAGGTCTAACCCTCAGGTAACGCCCTTTCTCCTTCTTCCCTTCTGCCTCTCCTTGCACCTGTCCACGTAATGCTCCGGCAGGTCCCGCCCGTCCCCCGCCGCCGCTCCGCTCCGCTCCGCGCAGGGGCCGCGCCCGCGCCCCCGCCGCGCGTGTGCGCGCCCGGCTGCGCGCGGGGGGCGCGCCCGGCGCCCCCTCCCCGCCGTCCCCGCAGATCAGAGGAAGGTGCGAGCGGAGGGGGAGCCGGTTTACAATTTCAAACGCGGCCTCCCCAGCGGCTTCATTAGCATGTGTCAGGGGACCGCCGTATATATAAAGACACGCGCGGGGCTGACGAGCAGCACCCCGCCGCCTGGCTCACACCGGCTCGGATCAGCACGGCTCGCCTCCGTTCCGCTCCGCTCGGCCCTGCCGGCTCCCCATGCTTGGGGCTCCGCCGCGCACCCCCACATGCCCACCGGGAGAGGCCGGCAGCCGCTCTCCGCCGCCGCCGCGCCCTAGTCCGCTCGCCCCGCGCCCGCATGGCTCCGCTGGCCGAGGTGGGCGGCTTCCTGGGCGGCCTGGACGGCCTGGGCCAGCCGGTGGGTGCCCACTTCTTGCTGCCGCCCGCCGGGGAGCGCCCGGCGCTGCTCGGGGACCGCCGCGCCCCGGCCGAGCGCGGGGACCGGCGCGCCCCGGCTGCGGCAGCGGCGGCGGACCTGGCGCACTTGCAGGGCATCCTGCGGCGGCGGCAGCTGTACTGTCGCACCGGCTTCCACCTGCAGATCCTGCCCGACGGCAGCGTGCGAGGCACCCGCCAGGACCACAGCCTCTTCGGTAGGCGGCTGCGGCACGGCCCCGCGTGTGCGCGCGTGTGTGTAAGCCTCTGTGCGTACCTGGGAGGGACCAGTCGTGCTCTTGAGAGGGAGATGTGATGCTGGTGATGCCGAGGCAGGTGGACGAGTGCTCGGAACAGAAAGGCTTCACCCTCCGGCGTTCGGCCGTGGGATCTGCACCAGGGCAGGGTAGTGAGGGAGGGCTGTTCATCTCAGGTGAGTCAGAAGACAGGCATTGCTCAGCCTATGCTGGGGGTCTGTAAGCACAGGCGCACGCCGGTAGGTTTTCTGGGAATGGTCAGGAGTCAGACTGATCCTTTTTGTATTCCCTGTTGGCATCGGAGCTTCTTGGGCCTCTGTAAAACACTATAGGTCACAGACTTGGGCATGCTATCTCTGGGTGCATTAGACTGCTTTGCTTCACAGAAGGACATAACGCTGAAGCAGATGAGCCTAAAATGCTTATTTGATTAAGTGTTTAAAATGCTTCCCAGCCAGCTTTCTCTGGCAGTAAACCCAAAGGAGGTGAAGGCAACCTGTGATATGAGAGTAAATCCTAAGTAGTAGTTGTAGAGGCTGGACATCTGAACAAACCTGCTGTTGTCAACAACATGTGAGTTTTGGTGTGTATTGGATTAGCAGTAGTAAAAAGGTGATTAAAGAGCTTCCTATCATCCTCCACATAGTCAAAACAATCTGCTGGAATGGCTCTTAATTGCTTTTATAACACATGGATGGCTTAAGAAGTAGAAGACCAGTAGTCAGACAGTTCTTTTCAGATGGAAGATTTCCTACAGCATGTAAACATGAAATAAATTTTTTGCTTTAAAGAGAAAAATCAAGTTAGCCATAGATCTAACGTTTACTCAGCTTTTTAGAATTGTACTACCTTTAGTCTACCACTGCTCTTGGAAGATTTGTCTGATGTGGTTTCTTTGTGGGTTGTATCACCTGCTTATTATGCTTTTGGAAAAGAGTGGCTTTGAAAATGATATCAGAAAGACAAAATGCCTCCAAACCTTTTATGGGACTCTGTACTTTATGAACTGGAAAACTAGGATGATTTATGTGTGATACAGTTTTTAATGCTTACTTTTTGTAAAGGATTTATTTTCTTTGCTGTTTGTTAATGCAACTAAGAAACCTGCCAAAGCTCAATTAAAATGGAAAACATTTTAAATTATTGGATAGTCCAGATAGTTAATCTGAGATTGAAAATTTTCCTGAAATCATAAATAGTAAACAGACAAAAAGTCATAATCAGCTGCACTATTTAAAACAGCTTACCTTAGATTCAGGGATTTTTTAAACATTTTGTGGTTTTGCTGCTGAGCAGCAGTATCTTAGACATTATTTTGGCACTTCTTTTTGAGGCTTTGTTTACATTGTTAACAACTTCCAAAAAGTCAGTTCACACGTTCCCTTTCTTTCATGTTTTGTATGTGCTGTAATCTGTGCATATCAATTGGTTAAATATGTTGGTTTACCTTTGCCAAATTCAGGCTTCAAATAATACCTCATGTCTGAAATACTTTATTAATATATATTACATTTTTGGGCAAATGTAATATAAATAATGTTATAATCCAAACAGTAGCAAAAAAGCAGCATATTTTATGTACTTTAAAAGCCTGCACTAAAGACAGCAAGTTGTGTCAAGAGGTGTGGGCCCATATGCTAGATAAGATGTCTGGCAAATACCTTTTCTGTGGGTAGATTCTGTTGTATAAAATTCCCATCTGTACTTTGATTTCCATTCAAATGACCTAATAATGGATGTGTTTTTTTAAGATAACTCTGTAGATGTAGTAAAGTATATTTTCAGGTAATTCAAACCAATCTTCCAATATTTAAGTAGGCAGTTTAGCAAACAGTGTACAATCATTAAAGACTCCAACAGCATGGTAGTAATGGCTTTATTCTCAGTGCTCAATAAAATCCTTTCATATTCAACATTTTGAAAAAGTTTCTTAAATGGTGTAGGATTCATGTTCCTAGATGAGGCTTCTCAGACTGCTTTCCTGTAAATATTGTGTATATTTTCACATAGTATTTCAAACTTCAGAGAAACTAGGCCACATTTACTATAATACATGCATTTTCTACTTGTTTTCAACTGAGTTTTTGGATGCTATGTGTTTTCTGGTTAAAAAATTAATTAAAGCAATTTTTTTCCCCAGGTATCCTTGAATTCATCAGTGTGGCAGTGGGACTGGTCAGTATTAGAGGTGTGGACAGTGGCCTTTATCTTGGAATGAATGAGAAGGGAGAACTCTATGGCTCTGTAAGTACCACTTTCATATCAGCTCATGCATCTTTAGGCTTTTGGTTTGCTTCTGAACACAATGCAACCCCCTCAAGAAGTTCATCTAGGCTTTCAAAATTATAACATCTTTTCCCGTTGAAATGTGTAATGTGTTTTTGAAGTATACAGTGTACCCTTAGATACTTCAACAAAATAGAATTAATTTTTACAAAGTTATGAGGGCAATACAAGTCCTACTCTTCTTTCACATTTTAAAACATTCTCAGATAAAATATTCTGTTTCTCCACTTCCTTTGGTTGTGGTCATTCTAGTTTAAAATGTGAGAAGTGATGCATACCACAAAGAAATATGTAAATACTTCCTGCTCTGTTGTGTTACATCCGAGTCCCTCTACCAAATCTCATTTCTAGAACAGTAGATAGCCCAAGACAGAACTCTACATAATACAATTCCTGTAAGTCAGATGAATTTTAAATAAATCATAAATAAGTAATATTTTCTTGCAACAAATGTTAACTAGTGCATTTTTTAAATCTGAAATTGTAGGTGTACAGGTCCAATTTTCCAAACTCATTGTCAGGTCTACATAGTCTGCTTGGGTTTGGTTTGTTGACATTTAAATGAACAATAAGGCTACACAAAGCCTAAAGCATTTTGTTTATTTTTATAATGTCTTTTTTCATGTCTTCAAATATCTAGTGGCAGCTTAATTTATTTTTCTTTTGTCTTTCTCTAGGAGAAACTAACTTCTGAGTGCATCTTCAGGGAACAATTTGAGGAAAACTGGTACAACACTTACTCATCCAATGTCTACAAACATGGGGATTCAGGGCGGAGGTACTTTGTAGCACTTAATAAAGACGGTACTCCCAGAGATGGGGCAAGGTCCAAAAGACATCAGAAATTCACACATTTCTTGCCCCGGCCTGTGGATCCTGAGAGAGTTCCAGAACTGTACAAAGACGTGTTAGGATACAGCTGAGGAAAGAGGCAGCTTTGGCAAATAGGCAAACTGGAGCTGTTGGCCATGCTTTCATGGCGATGCCAGCATGAGGAACCTGCAGTGGTCTAGGATGCTGGATGTGAAGAACCCACTTGGTGAAAGCCAAGCCTCTGTTTTCTAACCACTGGATTTAGGAGACAAAGCCTTGAAGATAAGGGTGGACCAGCCTCCTCAAGACTTTCTGAATGGTTTGGTAGCCAGTCACCAGGGGGAAGTGGAACTTCTTAAAACATAGCCAGCTCCTGGCAATTCTGTCTGGATTACCTGTGGCCTGTAGATTAGCAAGGAAATATCTATGTTACATGGATGAGACAATGCTGGAAGAAATAGAAAGAAATGGACTATAAATTTATAATAAATCCTGAGAACTGTGTGTGAAGTTTTACAGTCTCCACTTTAGTGATGGACATTAGATGTCAATACATAGTAGTCAAAACTGGAACTTTTCTTCAGGATGGACCTATTTATATATCTCCAGATAGCATATATTTATTTTATATATTTATTTATTAAAGAGTTTATTTTTTACTGGGATATGAAGAGAATACAAGTTCCTAACCCCAATGAGAAATCATTTACAGTACCAATATTTACTCTGAGTAAGTGTCATGATACAGAAATGACATTACCTTGCAATGCATCCAAAACCTGAACATTCATGTTTCATTGTTTATCAGTTACAGATAAGTTTATATTTTTGTGCATACCATTGCCTTGTAACTGTCCTTATTTGGAAAAGAATGTTTATTTTTTTTTTTTTTTTACTTATGAGAGTGCCTTACAGATTGTATTAAATTGAAATGCACATTTAAAAAGGGAATTAAAAGTTACTTCATTTTCTTTGGTTTAGTGTTATTTTTAAACTGTGAGTCTCTTAGCACACTATGTACAACATTTCCCACCTGCAACAATTGTGAAGTATGTACTGCAGTTACCTTGAAAGAAAAACTAATATTAACTCTTGAAATCTTGGTTCAAATCACAACATGCTTGATGACTTTTGCCCAAAGGATTCCTACTATCTTTACTAACACACAAGTAGCTATTCTCTGGAAAATTTTCATATAGTATTCTCATGTTTTTATTCTTTCTATCAGTATGGTTAAGGGGAAACAAGTTCAGAGTGCTAAGTTTCAGATACTGCTGTATGAAAAGCTTCTGAGTGAGAGTTGTTTCTCTACTGAGTACAGAGAAGCCTAAGAAGACAACTTTATTACTTTAATTCCTCATCTAGGCAATATTTTCAGCTAAGATGTTCTGTGAAAGCTGTCAGAACAAAAATGAGCTCTGTCTCTGTGCTAGTTATGCTATAAAACAGGCAGATCATACTAATTTAATTCAGAACTGTCAGTTATGAAGCACAAACTCATCTGAATATTAACTGATGGGGAAGTCTGCTCTGCAAGAATACAAGGGGTTAATGATAGATTTATGATTTAGACCTAAACCTGCTGAGGCTTGCTGTCACATGATTGCCACCTGCATGGACAAGGCTAGCCCAGGAAACTGCAGTTCAGGAGAGGGCACCAGAGGTGGTCTCATGTTTCAGATGCCAAGGCTCCCAGTGGGCTCCTGCTCAAGGTAACTCATTTGTATTCAGTTTTATATATGGTTCAAGTACTGCACATGCATAATTTACATAAAATTAAGGTGTCAATAAAAAGCATTTTCTGGTATATAGCACCCTTGCTAGCACCTTCACTGTGCCAGAATTTCTTCCACTGTATAGTGAGAAGTGGATGAGCATAGGTTACTGATGGATTGTTGACAAAATCATTTTACTGTCTGCCAAATAGAAATGAAACACAGATACACAAAAGCATGTTTCAGCACTTTGGGGCTAGCAATGTGTAGCTTACATAAAAGGTTTCATTTAAATTTTCTGGAAAGTGGGAAGTGGAAATCTACACTACACTGAAGGCATCCTAGTAAAATTACATTGTAATGCACTCCAGTTTACCATAAAATAATGATTTTGTGGGTGACATTGAGTCCCATTAGTAATAGATCAATAACTGAAGACAGAAGTATATGTTATAAATAGAAAAATTCTTCCTCTGCATCTTAAGAAGTAGTTTATTCCATATAAATTGTGTCCATATAAAAAGAAGTAGCTGCTGCTTAGGATTTATTTCCCATGCATTTCTGGCAAACAGACTCAGCGTTTAAACCATAGAGGAAGAATTATCTCTCTTTGGAGTACCAGTTTACTGTTCATCTTCAAAAGTATATTGAAGATGTAAAAGGTTGTAATCAACTTTGTTGTTATCATTGGGCATCTTTATTTCAAAGATATGATACAGCCTGTAACAGTAACTGAGGATACCTCTGAATGGTAAATAATCATCTGAAACTTCTGGATCCAAACACATACCCAACATCTAAGTGAAGAAAAAGAGTGAAATGTGCTTGCCCCATTTCCATTTTAGATATATGCAAATAAACCTTGAAAAAAATATAATGGAGTGGCGATGAATGACTGCACAAAACCTCCAGAGCATTGGAAAGCTGTCACAGTCTCTTTTTAGGTCTGATGTATTGCCATTGAAGAAATACATCGAGGTTCCTTATTTCATTTTGCTTGCAGCATGTATTTTCTTTCTGTTACATCCTGTCCATTGTGATCGTCAGATGCAGTTAATGTTTTTCAAGTTTGAGAATGGTGGATACAACAGTAACACCTCAAAAGGGCAATTTTTATATGTTATTAAATTAATAGCTTTAATTGTCAGAGGTTGGGGGTTTTTTTGTATGTGATTTTCACTCCCACTTCAAAAAGCCCAACAGCACAGAGGGAGGAGTTTGTTCTGTTTAATCAGTAGAATAAATGATCTAGTTTAACTGTCATATTTTAATAACTGTATAAAACTGAAAGATGTGGGCTGCTCTGATACTATGAAGGGAGTAATCTGAAGGAGGTGACAATGTTCAAGGTTCAGAGGAAGTTCTCTGAAGGCAGAGAAAATGCCACATCTTGAAATGAATTCCTGTGTAACTGACTTCCCTATTTTTGCCTTTCCTCATTTATTTTTTTTCCCAGGGAAGAAGACTCATTAAGACAGTTAATTCAGTTTGTGCAGCAGTTGCAGCTCCACTTTCTGCTTCCCATGTATTCTCCTAAAACCTGTAAAATTTGGTCCTTTGATCTCAGAGATGGCTTGAAATGGAGTGCCCCATGTCAGTTCTGCATTTCTTCATATATTTTGGGTTTTGCTACTCTGTTTTCCAAGTTGTGTCAGAAATAACATACTGGTCATACAAAATATTCTCTGAAAGCCAGGAGGAACCTTGACTTCTGAACATATTTGAAGTGAAATTGTTACTTCTATTAATCTTTGTGCACTTAATCAGAATTCAGAATGCAGAAAATAGGATTCCTGTCTTCTGTGGAAGTTTTACAGCCATAATAGTTACCACATATACGAGAACTCAAATTCGTCTGTAAATGGGTATTATTTTAATAGACAAGCTGATATAATCAGAAAAGGGGGACAGCTAGTCTATAAGGTACACAGTCCTTTCATTGGTCTGAGCCATTTGTGTTTGCATGGAGCAGTTTGATCCTGTCCATATCTTCAAGTTGCTATCAAAAGCTTATTGATGTTATCTTTCATACTCAGGTGTGACAGCCAGCTTCACTGCTTCTATCTGAGAATTGAAATCCCTGGTATGGCTATGCACTCTGGTAGCACTTCAGGGTTAGGCAGAATTTACTTTCTGTGAGGGTCATTTAACAAGTATACTTTCATCATAGCTTTCATTTCCAGCTACCCTCATTTCTTGATGTGCTTTGTTTACTCTTTTTTCTCATAGGCATCTAATCTAGCTTCACTAACCTTGTAAAGTTTACCTAAACATAGGCCTTTACCAGTAGCTATAAGAGCAGTGGGTGATATTTAGATATTTTCTGCTGCTTATGCAATCTTAATAGTACCACTGTGCTACAGCTCTAGTTATACCATTGCAAATTAGGTTTACCATGCTACTTTTTCTATACAGCAAAGAACTAAACAGAGGTAAGGCAATTTTATACACCATAAATGCATCTTTATTATTGCCTTAATGTACTGGGGCAAGGCTGTGTCAGATACTGAGAACATGGTGACAGGATGATTAAGTTTTGCTCCTATTGCTCCATACTGCATGGAGATGCTATTGGTAAGGAGACCTTTTGGAGATCTTTACTGCATTTTCTCCTTTCACTTTTAATAAGAGAAAAACTTCACCACTGTTCCAATCTCTGCATTACTTGGTAGTTTTTTTAATAGCAGATCCATTTGAAGACTCAAGCGTTATATGAAAATAACAACAGCTGCATGAGATAAGATGCTACCACCCTGGGAGAGAGTACTTCACTGGAAGGAGAGTAAGACAGACATACATTCTAGGGATTCTCCTCTATCAATGATCCTCTGGGATATTTCCTTTTATGAGGAAGAAAAGAGAAACAAACATTTCACAATGTTGAAAAATATAGTGGTGGAATTCTTCACTTCCTGGACAATTGCATAAATGTGCACTTTATCGGACATTTCTCTTACAACAATTTCCTTTACAATAGTGTGTTCAGCAGCTGTGGTGGAATTGTCGCTGTTACTGTACCTAGTGTCAGTGCTTGTCTCAGTACATGGCAATAAATACATTTCTAGAGAGGGAAAGAGAACATTCTGAAGTTGTTATATGCCATTAAATAGTAATCTGAAAAATTGGTTTATGGCATTAGTTTTTACTCAGTTTTTGATATAAAGCCTTGGATAAGTTTTATCCAATCCTTTATGATTTCTTAACATTCAGAGATTCATGGGCAGAAAACCATAAAGTTGTAAAAGTTCCTCAGGTGGGGCATATTTAACCATGACATCTTTATCAATAAGTTGTGCACAAATAGAAAGAAAAAAAATCCAAACAGGGAAGAGGTCAAACAGTTACTTCTATTGCCAGTTGGAGAGAGATTAAGTTTCAAACAGAAATTGGTTGGCAGCTTGCCAAAATAGCTGTTTAATCTGCAACATGATCAGTCACTAAAATCATTCTGGAAGTGCAGGAAAAAGAGAAAACACTGAATTAAAACACTGGTGACAGAAGCTCTGTATTTTGAACATATCGAAAATTGTGGTTCTCTTATTATAGCAAGTCTCTTGTAAAGGCAGTTTATAGGGAAAGGAGTAAAAGTGTTAGGCAGTCTTTTGACAGTGAGCTTAGCAAAACTCTTCCTGTGGAAAGGTCCTGGTTTATATATTTTGTCTAATTACAGAAAAATTGAATCATGTTTTTTTTCACTTAAAATATCACAAACCTATATTACTTTCATGAGTACCTTCAAATCAGGAGTGGTATCTGATTTACAAATAGAGCCTATTTGAATAACTTTAGTTAAGTCACATTTGACTCCCAAATGAAAACTTTTAAATATATATATCTATATACTCTACCATATAGTTATGAACTTTTCAAATTAGTTTCAAGTGTTTCTGTTGTTCCTGACAGTGACAATCTCAGTGGCTGATAGAG